GGGGGGGGGGTAAAAGGCATCTTTCCATGACATCATAGGGCTATGATGTCAGAGGACTATGACACCAAAGTAACAGCACAAGTGCAACAGCCTCCTGTAGGGTTGCCAGCTTTCAAACCAGAGAGGGCACCTGTACCTTTGTTGGTACTGTCCTGGTGCGCCTTCAAGTCATTTCTGACCTATGGCAACCCTATCATGGGCTTTTCTGGGCACACTTTGTTCCGGTTGCCCCTCTTGAGGCTGAGAGAGTGGGACTTGCCCCATGTCGCCCAGTGAGTTTCTGTGGCTGAGCGGGGATTCGAACCCATCTCCCAGTTTCCTCACCCAATACCCAAATTGCGACACCACACTGCTTACATAGTGACCAGATGTCCTAACCGCAAAGGAGGTCAAGGCGGCGTAAAACGTAGGACATTTGAGAAAAATGTACGATGCTACCAAACAATAGCTAAAAACGCTAATAGAAATATTGATTCATGCTTCTTAATCATGCTCAAAGTGGAAAAAATTTTGGAATTCTTCCTGGACAGAAGGTTCTCTTTGCAATGGCAGATGAAGACATTTTTCTTTAGGCTGGCATTTGATTGGGTGAATTTGACTTGTGTAGTAAAGTAAAGTAAAGTAAAGTAGTGGGCTTATCTATACAATTGCCCCTCCCAATTCGCGGTGGATACGTTCCAGAACCCACCCACCCCATGAAAATGGCTGCTTGCTAATATTTGAGCCCCATTGAAACTAATGGTGCGCATGGCCATGGCGCAGGCGCAACCATTTTACATATAGCTACTTGTCCCTTCCCGTGAAGAGCGAAACCGCGGACTCAAAGTCCGCAAACGGAGAGGGACAACCATATGTCGTACATATGTTGTGGATTTGCTAGTAGACAATGTGTAAAAAGTTGTAACTGTTTTACGTATTTGATGTAACAAAAGTAATAAATATAATTTGGGGGAGGAGAATAACAACAAAACCAACAATAATTACACTTGGCCCTCCACATTTGCGGCTCTGGCTTTTGCGGCTTTGACTATTTGCGGTTTTGATTAATATGTTCTCTCTAGGAATCTCTAGGTCCTCCAGCGCAATTCTGTTGGAAGATGACCATAGAGATGAGTTAGAGAATACAGATGTTCCTAGAGAAAACACTTCTCTAGGCATTTGTAGGCCCTCCAGTATGATTCTATGATCCACTTCTTACAGATGTTGACCACAGAGTTGCACTGGAGGACCTAGAGATTCCTAGAGAGAACAATCCACTTGGCATATGTAGCTCCTCCAGCGCAATCCTATGGTCACTGTCTGGCAGATGTTGATCACAGAGTTGTACTGGAGGACCTGGAGATTCCTAGAGAGGTGTTCTCTCAGGTAAAAAGAATAGTGTTGGTTTTTTATTTGGGGTTTTCCCACATTCACGGCATCCTTTACCCCTAACCCCAGCGAATGTGGAGGGACCACTGTATTGGTGTTTGGCACGGATCTGAAAAATAGCCCTCTTCCTAGAAGATGGGGCCAGGAAGAGAATGGGACCCCAACCTTCAAAGACGATGTCTGCCCCATTGCAGAGGAGGGTTTCGGCCACACGCAGCAAGCCCAACTCCGCCACTTTCAGTAAAGCGCAGCTCACGCCTTCCTGGTAAAAGGACGAATGGGCTTTCCTTTCCAGGAGCTCGGCAAGGACCGGAAGTCTGCTCTCATCTTCAGCCACAAAGCTGGGACTTTGCATTGAAAGAGGAAGAAAAGAAAAAGAGACATTCAAAACTTAGCAGTGGCTGCTATAGCTTGCTCTATGTGGGACGTTTGGAAATGTCAGTAGGTCCAAAGACCTGCAGTCAGATTGCTAACTGGGGCAGGTTACAGAGACCCGAGTTCTTGTTGGGTGTGCACAAGTTGTTCTCAATTTATGGTGACCTTAGGTGAACCTATCACAGGGGTTTTTGGGAAAGATTTGCTTGGAAATGGTTTGCTTTGGCCTCCCTCTGAGGCTGAGAGCATGTGCATGCCCAAGGTTATGCAGTGGGTTTCATGGCCAAGCTGGGAATCGAACCCTGGTCTCTAGAGTTACAGTCCAACACTCAAACTATTACACCACGTGGGCTCCAAGCTAGTATTAAGGAGGCCTAAATATCCTAAAGGCACCAGACCCTATCTGATCTTGGAAGTTAGGCAGGGTCAGCCCTGGTTAGTACTTGGATGGGAAATCACTCAATGAATATCAGGTGATATTTCAGAGGAATATAGCAAAACCACCTCTGAGGATTCCTTGCCTAAGAAAATCCAATGAAATGTATGGGGTTGCCATAAGTCGAGAAGTGACTTGAAGACACGTACCCACATATTAACGGTACAGGAACGATCTCCAGTTTACAATCTGGCAACCCTATGGCATGGATATAGTGTTGCTCATAGGGTCGCGATAAGCAAAAAACAACTTGATAGTACATAGCCACAACAAAAGCTAATTACCTCTCCAGCGTTTCCTGCCGTTCAGGGTCCTGTAAACCCAAGCATCCCAAGATCTCGTCTACCAGCGGCTGGTATTCAAAGATGATCCTGCGGAAGCCGTGGAGAAAGGGCATGGTCCTTGACTTCTCCTGGTTACAGATCATCCATGAATAAAGTCTGATCTTGCAGCCAGATGCAAGTTGTCTTCCTGGTCTACCTAAAAAATTACATGTATATGTGTGTGTGTATATATAACCCTCCTTTACAGTGCATCACATTGAGGGCATAACGCAGGTTATCAACCTAGAATCATACAGTTGGAAGAGACCCCAAAGGGCCATCCATCCAACTCCCTGCCATGCAGGAAGACACAATCCAAGCACTCCCCCATTTTTAGCCTTTGTTTAAAAACCTCCAAAGAAGGAGACTCCATCACTCTCCAAGGCAGCATCTTCCTTTGTTTCACAGCTCTTACTGCCAGGAAGTTTTCCTAAGGTTTAGGTGGAATCTCTTTACCTGTAGCTTAAATCTAATGCTCGGGTTCCTAGTCTCTGGAGCAACCAAAAACAAGCTTCCTCCATCCTCAATACAACATCCCTTCAAATATTTAAACATGACTATCATGGCTTTTCTTCTTAACCTTTTTCTCGAGTCTAAACATACCTAGTTTCCTAAGCTGCTCCTCATGGGACATGGTTTTAAGACCTTTTGCTATTTTGGTCACCATTAATGCCTAGAAATGGCTCTTGACTTCAATGGGACGTGTCCCAGGGGAATCAAACTGCAGCCATATCTATTCAGAACAAATTTAAATATGCAGAACAAGAAAATGGTTAAACCCTCTTTAACTTTTGTAAATCAATGTTTTAGTTGGAACATTTTAAAATTATTGTAATTCTACCTTGGATCAGGGAGAAAGGCAGGAGAGAAGTGTAATAAAAATAAAGAAATAATGTGATTGCTGCCTCTGGGACCAAATTTTCTATTAGAGAAGTCATGTCCAGGAAGACATGGGCTTCGTTCACAGAGGTATATCTGTACTTCTGCAAAAGTCAAGATATTCAGTGTGTTTGTGTCTGTGTTGCGGGTACCTTATTCCACCTGAACCTGCCTGCTTCCTGCATTAGATATCAGAAATTCAGTGATACAGTTGACCTTCCGTATCCAGGGATTCAACCATCCACGGTTTGAAAATATTTTTAAAAAATATAAGCTCCAAAAAGCAAACCTTGATTTTACCATTTTATATACGAGACACCATTTTACCACATCACTGTATTTAAAGGGACTTGAGCACCCACAGATACTGGTATCCACAGATCCTGGAACCAACCCCCCAAAGTATATCAAGGGCCCACTGTAATTCCCATCATTTTTGGAAGTCAGGTCCACTGCGACAGAGCTTCTGCTAGCATGAGCCAGCTTGTTTATCTAGAAGTCCACCTGCTCCTTTCCCTGGGCGCGGCAATGCTGGGTTTGACATGCCCAACTACATTCACTTCCCCCTTTATCTATCTGGCATCACAATGCAACTGCAACGACAACTCCAGTACACTCCCAATCTGAAACTGTCCCACTGCGTATGAAGAGCTACTGCAGAGAGAGATGAAAAACCTCCAGTTGAAAAGGAGCACTGTTCATCCCACTTAGCCCCCTTCTACAACATCCCACCTGCAGAGCATCATTAGGGTTGGTGCCAACCCAATGCTCAGACCCACCAGGCCAATGGTCCCATAGATTGGGCCACCATGAAGAGAAAGGCTATGGTCTACTTGGCACTGACAGCTGGTAGACCAGGGCACCTGAAGGGACTGTTCGTGTTTCAAGTTGTTCCTTGCTGCCTTGTATGCAAGTCCCAAAGGGGTCCAGGTGCCATTTGGCAAAGGAACTCCTCTAGGAGTTCACCGTGGCATGCTGACAGCCTTCTTGCCAACTCCGGGAAAGTGGACTAGGTCTTCCCAGGACATTCAGTCTCTGGGAATCCTGGTCTACTCATGGAGAGGTGGCGCAGCAGACACCAGTAACAAGCCCTTTCCCACAATTCCACCAAGAGACAGCCCCATCAAAGTGTCACCCAATGCAGTCAACACCCCTCATCCGCTAGTAACTCCCCTGGCCGGTCCTACCATGAGGGAGGGTGAGGCGGTTGGTAGAAACAAGGTGTTGGAGGAAAGATCTGGATACCAAATGGTCTTCACTTGCATCACAAGACAAGGATGGAGGAACATATGATCCTCCAGATACTGTTGGGTTGCAACATCCATCTGCCTCTAGCCAGTAGTGAGGATGGATAATGGGAGTTAAGAATGGATAATGGCCCTCCAAATATTGTTGGGTTGCAACATCTATCTCTCTCTAAATTGGCCCACCAGATATTGTTGGGTTGTGACATCCATCTGCCTCTAGCTAATCGTGAAGATGGATAATGGGAGTTGAGGATGGATAATGGCCCTCCAGATATTGTTGGGTTGCAACAACCATCTGTCACTAGTCAACAGCAAGGACAGATAATGGGAGTCACAGTCCACCATCATCTGGAGGGCCACACCAATTTTCCATCCCTGCCTACCGGTGGCATGGAGGACCCTCTCTGGTCACCATGGGCACATTCACACGGCACAATTATAGCGCTATGGTGAAGAGAGAAGATGGGCAGGTTGATGGGAGCTAGCCAATCGTGGCTCATGGAATCCAGTGAAGGTGGGCCTATAGTTGACTCTCCGTATCCATGGTTTCTTTATCCACAGATATTCCAAAAACGAAACCTTGATTTTGCCGTTTTATATAAAGGACACCATTTTAGTGTGTCGTTGTATTTAATGGGACTTGAGCATCCACATATTTTGATATCCACAGAGGGTCCTGGAACCGAATCCCAGCAGATACCCACTGTATACCCACTGGAGGCTTGCCTGCTAAAATAAGGATGAAATAAAATAGGGATAAAATAGAGATGAAATAAAGTTATAGCAAACAGAAACAGAGGGACGGCTGGTTAGGCAGAGCAGAGTGGATAAAATCTGAATAGGTTTCCAAAAGCAGGGGATGCGGGAAGAGTTCAAGACATTCATGCTTAACTTCATTTTGTTGTTTGCTGCTGTGTGCCTTCAAGTTATTTCTGGCTTATGGTGACCCTAAAGCCATGGGGTTTTCTTTGGCAAGATTTATCCAGAGGAGGTTTGCCACTGCCATCCTCTGAGGCTGAGAGAGTGTGACTTGGGCAAAGTCACCAGACAGGTTCCATGGTGTAGCTGAGAATTGAACCCTGGTCTCCAGAGTCCTAGTCCAACACTCAAACCACTATGCCACGCTAGCTCATGGATCTAGTACATTTACACGCTGGATCACTATGTTGTATAATAAATCTCTCTCTCTCTGCGTATGTGTCTTCAAGTCACATTTGAAGTCACCTAGTGACCCCCATGAATTTCATAGGGTTTTCTTAGGATGCATCCACACTGTAAAACTAATGCAGTTCAACACCACTAAGTTCTGTAGCTCCGTACTGGCACAGTGGTCCCTTGGGATCTAATGGGGTTTGGTTCCAGGATCCCCTCTGGATATCAAAATCCATGGATGCTCAGGTCCCATTAAATGCAATGACATAGTAAAATGGTGTCCCTTGTATACAAAGGAAAAATCAAGGATTGCTTTTTTTGGAATTCAGACTTTCTTATACTTTATTTATACTTGTTTTTGTTTTTGTTTTTTTGAACATATGCTTTCTCCCCTTTGTCCTCAGCTTACTTTGATGGCTGCAAACTCAGCTCAAATTGCAAAAGTTAAGTTTGCACTCCAGTGATGAAAGGAGGGAAGGGAATATTGCCCTTCCTAGTTGGCTCAGGCAAAAGCAACCTGCTGCAGCCTCTCCTAGCTAGTGTTTTCTTCCTCATGAACAACATTTGCCATCTTCCCCATGCTCTGACGTTGCTTACCCACATATGTCCCTATTTTCATCTGCAAAATGCTGGATGGTATGGATCCAAAGCTGTTGTTGTGTGCCTTCAAATCATTCCCAAATTATGGTGACCCGGGGTTTTCTTGCAAAGTTTCTTCAGAAGGGGTTTGCCATTGCCATCCTCTGAGGCTGAGAGAGAGTGACTTGCCCAGTGTCACCGAGAGAGTTTACACAGCTGAACCAGGATTCGAACCCAGGTCTCCAGAGTCACAGTCCAACGCTCAAACTACTACACCACGCTGGCTCATGGATGTAATATGTGTGTCTACATAGCATTTTGCAAGTAGATCAATAAGTATAAATACGTTTAACATTATAATCCTGTGCCCCCTTTCCAGCCAGAAACCCACATTTTTAAAAAACATACTCTGGAATAAAAATGCATAAAGACACACACTGCTCCTGCAAAATATAAATACTCTGCAATAAGCATGCATAAAGATACACACTATCACTGCAAAACAAATACTCTGGAATGAACATGCATTTGCACTGCCACTGCAAAATATACATAAATAAAGTAAATCTATACATTTTAACCCTAAGAAGTTTATACAATCTGTAACATTTAACCACAGATGACAAAACAGGAAAATGTAACTTTCTTCAGTTTGTAAGCTTTTAAAGGAAATATACACAAGCAGGGCAGGGAGGGAGGTGGATTCTTCAATAACAAGGATACAGGCATTTTAAAAAAGACAATAAAATGCAGATTCAATAAGACAAAGGGGAAAATGTTAAGGAGTACATGCTAAGTTTTAAAAAGGGCAGATTTCAACACTGGCATAAATGCACATTATATATATATATGTATTTGCAACCTCAAAGACAAAAAATGTGAAATGCATCCACATCTTACAAACACATAATAAAATCCAATTTCCCATCCAATTTTAATAAAACCCAGTGTGCAGCTACAGCAGATCCTTTTGCATTTGGAGAGAGGCTTGTTAGCCAACAAGGACAGAAGCCCCATTCACTGCAATGGGACTATTCTAGCTAAAAAAATGCAAAAATGCATTTAGCTCCCTTCTTTTTTTCTCCTCCCTGTGCATGCATTTACTCACCTTCTTTTTGCAAACTGCTGCCTTTCTAATTCTCTTGTCCCTATGGGGTTCTTTGCTAGCTAAAAAGGAAGCGGAAGGAAGGTGGAATATTTGGTTGCACGTTTAAACATTTGCAGAAAGTGCTGCAATTCAGTTTCTCAACCTGTTTTTTTCCCTTCCCCAAGTTGGCGCCCTCTGCAGGTTGGAGGTGTTTATTGCGTCTCCACCAAGGGCTGCAAGGTCTCAAAGCACCGCCAGAGGGCAGTCTTACCTAGTGGAAAATGAACATTATGAGGGTGCACTGTACCAGGTACTCTATCTAGCTATCTAATAAAAAAAAGTATCCATGCTCTTGCATTTTTAAATATCTATTTAAAAAAATGTTGTTGTTGTTTACTGCCTTCAGTGGATCTTGACCCATGGCGACCCTATGAATGAGAGATCTCCAGGCCCCCCTGTCCTCTACTGCTCTGGCTAGCTCCTTATTCGGGGTCTCTTTAATAAAGTCCATCCATCTCGCATGTAGGCTTCCTCTCTTTCTACTTCCCTCCACTTTTTCTAACATTATTGTCTTTTCTAATGATTCATGCCTTTTCATGATGTGTCCAAAGTATGGCAGTCTATGTCTTGTCATCTTGGCTTCCAGGGAGGTTTCCAGTTTGATCTGCTCTAGGACCCATTTCTTTGTCCTTTTGGCTGTCCATGAGATCCTCAGCACTCTTCTCCAGAACCACATTATCTCAAATGCATTTATTTTCTTCCTATCATCTTTCTTGACTGTCCAGCTCTCACATCCATACATTGTAATAAGGAATACGATGGCTTTGATGATTCTGACTTTTGTGCTGAGTTGTATGTCTTTGCATTTTAGGATCTTTTCTAGTTCTTCCATAGCCACCCTCCCCATTCTTAGTCTTCTCCTGATTTCCTGACTGCAGTCCCCATTGTATACACACACACACACACACTCACACACATACAGTTGGCCCTCCACATTTGCTGCTTTGACTTTTTGGGATTTGATTATTTGCAGTTCTGATCAATATGTTCACTCTAGGAATCTTTACATCCTCCAGCGCAATTGTGCCAGAAGTTGACCATAGAGTTATGCTGGAGAACCTAGAAGTTCCTTCTAGAAAACAGTTCTCTAGGCATTTGTAGGTCCTCCAGCGTGATTCTGTGAGCAACTTCTAGCATATGTTGACCATAGACTTGCACTGGAGGACCTGGAGACTCATAGGGAGATGTTCAAGTAGGTGAAGGGAATAGTGTTGTTGTTGTTTTTAATTTATATTGCACATTATTACAGATTTTTATAAACAGAATAGTGCTTTTTTATTTGGAGTTTTTCCACATTCTTGGGAGTCTTTCACCCCTAACCTCAGCAAATGTGGAGGGACCACTGTATGTATGTATGTATGGATGGATAGATGGATGGATAGATAGATGGATGGATGCAAAAGCATTGAGAGATTCAATATTCTCTACCTAGCAAAGAGGGCTGTGACCTCACAAAGGATGGAGACACTTTGGGTCTCAGAAGAAGTAATCTTTTTTTAGTGCTAATGGAATTCAAATTTTATATCCTGGACTTTGGAATGCTTTGTTCCCGGTGCCACATGGCCAAAAGAAGAAGGGGGCTGCTTGCATAGATATCCCTCCACAGAACAACACAACAGCAACGCCTTGAGAAAATGCAGGCCTGTGACTAAAATTATCATTTCATAATATTTTTTTTCCTCTTGTACAATTTTTTTAAAAAACACCTTTGCCTGATGAAGAAGCTAGTGAAGCTTCAAAAGCTTGTGACATGTATTTTGTGCATTTTGGCTGGTATTACTGTTTTGTGGGTTTGGATGTTATGGTACTATACAGTGTTCTATTATGCTACATAAATCCACATTTTAATTTATTCAGCCTAAACAGGTTGAGTTTCCCTTATCCAGAATTCCAAAATCCAAAACATCCAAAATCCAAAACAAAATCCAAAACTTTCCAAAATCCATAGTGACACCTCTGCTTTCTGATGGTTCTGTGTACACAAAAGCTGTTTCATGCACAAAATTATTAAAAAAAACATTGTTTATAAAATTACCTTCAGGCTATGTGTATAAGGCATATAAGAAACATGAATGATTTTTGTGTTTTGACTTAGGTCCCATCTCCAAGATATCTCATTATGTATATGCATGTATTCCAAAATCTGCAAAACTTCGAAATCCAAAACACTTCTGGTCCCAAGCATTTTGGATAAGGAGTCTCAACCTGTACTTACTAAATGTCCTGATATTTCAATTTATTCAGAACATACCTTCCAATTGTCCCTCGATTTGTGGCCTGAACTGTAATGTTGGTGCTGAGTAGAGTAGACCTATTGGATCAGTAGAATTTACCCATGTGTCAACACATTATTGAACAATTATCCTCTACCTGTCCCCATTTGGTTGGGACAAAGTCAATTAATCCTCTACCATCCCACCTTTTAAAGTTGCTTTTCAAATGTCCCAGTTTCTCCTTCTTCCTCTGTGCTCAGCCAGCTTCCACTACTGCAAACTGAGTTGAAAATGCAAAATTAATTTGTGCTCAAGTAACTCAGCAAAGGGGTCCTTCCCAGGAAGCTCCAGTAAAATCAAACTGCTGCTGCTTCTCTTAACTTGTCCATTTGATTACTTTTGCCATTTTGATCACACATTTGTGTTACTTGGCCATTTCCTATCCTGGTTTTGATCGGTGAAATGTTGGAAGGTTGAAAGTTTTTTTCCTTCTCAAAGAGCACTTTGAAAACTTTGCAAACCCTGCAAACATGTTGCTCAAAGGTTCTTGCCTAAGAGATTCTGCTTCTGTTTCTTTGGTGTTCCTTGAGAAGGCACTAAGGCAATTTTAGGAAAGATAGTTTTCTGTGGGTTTTCCAGGCTATGTGGATGCATTCTGGAAGAATTTATCCCTGTTTCACCTGCACCTGTGGCTGGCATCTTTAGAGAGTGGTGGCATGGAAGTGTGTGGGGCATTTGCATGAACTGAGTCTTGATTTTGGTGTTCTCCAGGACTGGTAGCCAAACTTGATTTCTTTTCAGCATTTCTTCTTTCCTGTTGAAGTTGTCCAGGTGTCTGTGGATTTCATTGGCCTCCTTGTGCATTCTGACCTGGTACGCAACCAAATAGCCCAGAAAACCCACAGAAAACTATGAACGCCATCTATGAAAGCCTTCGGATTCACATTAGAAAAACATCTCTAGCTGTCTGTTTCTCCAATCTGTGATCTGCAGCTCCGGACAGACTGTTCGATTTGCCATAGTGAAATGACGGCGTTG